TGTACCGGTAGTCTGAGCACTGGCAGCGATGCGCTGGCCTTGCTTTGAGCTTTTAAAGGAAAGCAGTTCAATAGGGACAGATCCTCCAGCTAGGAAAAAGGAACCAAATGCATCAATACGAGATGGGGAATATGTGGCTCAACAGAACTGAACAAGAAAAAGACCTTGGAGTTATTGTGGACAACAGGCTAAATATGAGCCAACAAGGTGATGCAGCTGCAAAAAGGGGCAAATACTATTTTGGGATGCATTAAGAGAAGTGGTAGTTCCCCTATACTCTTCACTAGTCAGACATCATCTAGAATACTATGTCCAGGTCTGGGCATCAAGATTTGGGAAAGGTGAAGAAAAATTAGAAAGGGTCCAGAGGACGGCAACACAAAGGATCCAGGGTTTGGAAACACTGCCCTATGAGGAGAGGCTGAGAGAACTGGGCATGTTCAGCCTTGAGAAGAGAAGACTGAGCAGGGACATGGTATCCCTCTATAAGTCCCTCAAAGGCTGTCACAAAGAGGAAGGTCAAGATCTCTTTTTGCCAATACCAGAGTGCAGGACACAGAATTGTTTATTCAAGTTGTGGCAACCCAGATTCAGGCTAGATGTCAGGAAAGGTTCCTCACTTTCAGACCAATATGACAGTGGAACCAGTTGCCTAGAGACATTCAAAAAGAAACTGGACAGCCATCTGAGTGGGATGGTGTAAACTGGTGTCCTGCAACAGCAGGGGCTTGGACTTCCATGTGTTCCTTCCAACTCTACTCTTCTATGAGTCAATGGCTCTATGACAAGAAAGAGAGAGTGTGTGTGTGTGTGTGTGTGTGTGTGTGTGTGTTATGCATATAAAGAAATAATTGGAGTGAGGTCAAAAAGGCATGCTATATTAAGAATACTGCCTGTGACAATTTTATTAAACTTAGTGTATGTAAAATAATTAAACTGGCCATTCACAACAGCAATAATTTGTAATAACGCAACTTTCCTAGATTTGCTATACTAGCTAATACCTGTAGTGGGACAGGAACCATTGTCTCTGTTCAAACCCAACTGGGCAGAATCCAAAGCCTTGATAAGTTCTAATTAAGCTATTTTACATGGGGACTCCCTTGAAAATTCTTCAGTTATGTTAATGATCCCTTGAAGTAATGTTTGGTATCATTGTAATTATGGTGCCTGCAGCAGTTTGCAACCTGGTCTGCTGCCAGGTCTGGTGGTCTCTGTGTTTGGGCTCCTTTTGTGTGGCCTGTTGCTGCTATTTAGCTGTTGTAGATTCAGGGATTATAGGCAAAAGCAACGAGTGGCCAGCCTCCCTAAGGGCAGCGGGACATATAATTGTCCAGTATGGACTGTAGATCCTTGATGACACACTGGCTTGGTTTGTGTTGGGACAAGTAGTGTCCGATCACTTTCTCTTCTGGGATTGGAAGGGGATGGTGGGGTACCTCATCCTTTGCAGCTTTTCCTTCGATCTTGTAAGAGTTATCTTTGGTGCTTCATGATAGTGGACTTATTTGAGGGATGGAAATATTTATTCTTTATGCTTTCGGCATTTGTAGTCTTGAGAATCTCAGCAGACATAATATTCCACAGTCCTGATAAAGGTGGATCCAGTTAGTGAAGCTTTTGATTCTGACAAATTTTCAAGCAGTATATTGGCAGCTTCAGATTGTGAGGAGGTGAGTGAGAAAGGTTGTTCCTGCAGTAGATGTCTTCTGGAATATCCAGGAAACTACCCAGTTTCCCTCCCAAGTACATTGTTGACAAAGCTCCTCTCATTCCCCTTATAAAAGTGGAGCTATTAAGAACACATGATGCTTCGGTGCATCAGAGTGGCCTAAAATTCTTGTTTGCAAAACAACTTTTTTGGGTTGAAATTTGAGGATCCATTATGCTCCCTCCATCTGACAATCATTCAAATAAAAGCTAAGATTTTTATCAGAGTGTAACATTTAACTATCAAAAGTAAAAATCCCAAAATCTGAGATTTAGAGAGATAATTTTTAATGTTTTCTTCCATCAATTTTTCATCCCACTGACAAGCTGGATGTTTGGATGCTTCCAGGCAAGACTTTTATGATACCATCACCTAGCCTCATTACTGGAATGTTATGGGGTGTAGGTCTATTTGCCCTGACATTGCCGTCTTATCTACTAACCCTCCCACGCTTTCACACAGCTTCTTCCATCTTTTAATTTACTGCAAAATTAAAAAAAGATGGGCCAGCTTCACAAAGCCTTTGGGTTGCTAGTGCTAGGAACCCTCTCTCTGGAAGCACCCTTTGCTGTAACCAAGAGAGGCTGGGTCAACTCCTATTTTGTTTCAGTCTTTTCCCACAAGGGGAGTAGTATTCAAGCTGGGGTAAGTAGTACAAATGTTATAAGGAAAATTTGCAGGTCCGAATAAATAAAGAAATAGTTAGAGAGTACTTCACTAAATGAGTACAAGTCTCAAGGCCCAGTGAATAACATCCTTGAATGCTGAAGGATCTTGTGGAATTTTTGAGCATTCTGGAGTACAGGTGAACTGCTGGATGTCTGGACATGGTCAAATGTTGGCTCCATCTTCTAGGAGAAGAAAAAGGTAAATCCAGGAAACGACAGACAAGCTGATGTCATTATAGGGTGACATTCTCAGATAGATGATTAAGTGGTCCATCTGTGAGCATCTAGAAAATAATTTATTGATAACTAGTCATTCCAGACTAACCCCCACTTCCCCTGCCTTTTTTTAAAATAGATAATGGTAGGGACTAGTTTGGGAATGCTATGAACATAGTATATCTTGATTTTGGCAAAGCGTTGGACAATGTTCCCCATGATATTCTTGTTGACAAGATAGTAAATACATTTGGACAGTACTGCAATGAAATGGATCCACAGTTGGCTAAGAAAACATGCTCAACAGCCATCTGAGTGGGATGGTGTAAACTGGTGTCCTGCAACAGCAAGAGGTTGGACCCAATGGCCTTCAATGGCCCCTTCCAACTCTACTATTCTATGATTCTATGACAAGTCTTAATTAGTCCTTGTGGTGTGGTGATTAAAGGTTGGACTGGGGACCCAGGAGAGCTGGGTTCTAGTCCCCACTTGGCCATGAAGATCACTGGGTGACTTTGGACCAGTTCTTCACTAAGAGCCTAACCTACGTCACAGGGTTGCAGCGAGGATAAAATGGAGCTATTGTGTTCCTCAGAAGAGGAAAAAAATGTGCGATATACACGCACTATGATGGTGGTGGTGGTTTGTCATCCTCCTGGCGGGAAGCTTCATGTGGCGGCTGCAGGATTTGGCCCTACACTTTGTGCTGTTCAGCATATGTATAAATGGGTTGGATGAAGGTATGAAGGGGTTGCTTATCAGATTTGCAGGTTGCATGAAGCTAGGAGGAATGGCCAGAGAAGAAAGGATTGAGATTGGAAAGGATCCAGACAGGATGGAACACTAGGCTGAATCTAGCTTGATGAGATTCAGCAGGGATAAATGTGAAGATGGGGGATAGATGTCAAATGTAAAGGCTTGCACTTAGGTACAAAAAAATCAAGCACATGGGTATAGGAGGGGGAGGCCTGGCTTGGCAGCAGTACCTGTGACAAGGACCTAGGTGTCTTACAGTGCCATCCTATGGCAGCGAGGCGGCATTTAGAGGGCCACAGGATTTTTCAGATTCCAAGAGGCAAGGTCAGGAAATGCCCCCCTTGTCCTAGCCAGGATTTATCTTCAGGCCCCCTGAAGCCCCCACTTGCAACTGGTGTAGAAGGAACTGTGCTGCCTGCTTCTCTGAGGTCGTAAGAGTGATCTCAGAGAGGGGCATTTGAGGTGTTTCCGGGGGTAGGGAGGAGAGGAGACCAGTACCACCGAGACGTGACATATCCTGGTAGCATCTCAGCCTCCTTCACTCTTGCCGCAAAGTGCCACACTTGGTCTGCCCAATTCTTTGCAGAGCAAAAGAAAGGCAGAGGTGATCTCCTCCGCCACTCTTTTCTCTCCCTCCATAGGGTGCTTGTAATCCTCTGAAGGTTATGGGCACTCCCCTTGGATCGTGCCCTTAGCACTGAATCCAATCTAGAATGGCTCTTCGTGCTGCAATGTGGAGCCTGTACTGAGCAGAGGGTTGGATTAGATGATCTCTGAGGCCCCTACCAACTCTATGATCCGATGACTCTATAATATAGCAGGCAGCTATTCCACCCTCATACAGTGGTGGTACTTTCAGGGATACATGCAACCTCTGGGACCTTTCTCTGGGTGCCAGCCCCTCCCCCCCAGGCTTGTAGGCAGGCAACTAGAGGAAGGACCTGTCCAGTGGTAACCCCCCCCCTGCCCCCCAATCTTTGGAACAACCTTTCTGCTGGTGCCAGGGCAAGAGAGCCCTGTATGCAGAGGCCTATAAAGATCTCCTTGGTCATCCAGGGGCCTGGGAAGATTATCCTGGTATTTCTTCTTGCTACCTGTTTTGTTTTACTGTATTTCAAGGGTATTTTAAATTAATTTTAACACTTTTAGCACTGTTGTTTTATCTTATTTGTATTGTATTTATTGTTTTGTTTTAACCTTGTTGTAAACTGCCCAGAGAGCTTTGGCTACCGGGCAGTATAGAAAGGAAATTAACAGCAAGGTGGACGGTGGACAAGGGTGGGGCAAAGCTGACCCCAGGGTGGTCTTGGATAGGCTCCAGATCAGGGCTGTGGTCCGTAGCCAGCTGATGCTGCCCGTGCGGCTGTGCACGCTGCCTCCAGGGCCGGGGGCTGGGTGACCCGCTGCCGCAGCACAGGAGGCGTGTGCCTGGGGAGGAGGGTGCTCCCACCTCCTGCTCACGGCCTCTCTGGGAAGCAGGGCATCGGGCTTTGCTCTCATCCAGCAGGACTGTCGCACGTATAATTTCATATTTTAGCAGCCCGGTCGGGAGGGGTGCCACTCACTTGGCCGTACTGCCCGTCTTCTTTGACAGCTGCTGGAAGGCCACGTGGCATGCCTGTCTCACCCTTGCTCCATTCTCCCCGCAGATGAGAAGCACAAAGCGGCAATGATGGAGAAGATGAAGAGCCCTCACTCGCTTGTTGCCCTGGAGCAGCAGAACCCTCCACCACCAGTCTCCCCCACCCCAAACCCATCTCCATCCCGCAGAAGGGAGGAGGCAGAGGCCAGCCCACTCCCTGCCAGCCCTGCCTCAGCCTCTCCTCCACTCAAGGGCAGCCCCCCCTCCGAGCCCTCTGCCCCACTGCCTCACAACGTCCCCGTCATCAGCCTGGGCCACAGCAAGCACCCTGGCCATGCTGACGTCTCCACGACTCCGCTCACTGCCTTGCACCCCATCCCTGGCTACCTGCAGCTCACAGCGCTGCCCACCGGGCCCCCTCCATCTTCCATGCCCCTAGCAGGAGTAAGAAGCCCCCTCCTGGCCCCACAGTATCAGCCCCACCCCTTTCTCAACAGGTAAGTTCCAAGGGGGAATGGCCAGATCTGGGGTGGGCGTGCAAGGACACCCTGGCAGTGCTGGGGATGCCGCTGGGGGAGCAGTGGCCACTAGGCAGTCGCAGGTGCCTTTATTTGCAACTGTTAGTTCAAATTCCTGTTCCCCCACAAAGAAAAAACGGACAAAGAAAAATGGAAAGCAAAGCATGCTGCATAGCTGACAGCTCAAAAGCCTGTTATCACAAGTGCAAGAGCTGGTCCCCTATGGACTGGCGCTCCCTTCGGGTTGCCAAGTCTTCCCAAACTCAGGGCATGAGCCACAAGGGCCATCTGAGGTAAGGTGGCCACTTAAGCACCACCAGAAAAGAGCACAAAGGAGAGTCGCTGATACGAATGCAAAATCCATTTGCTGAGTGGTAGAGCAGTGCATGTAATTGCAACAGGGGAACAACGCATCTCCACAGGTGGGCCTCGCTCGGTCTGTTGCCCAGGAGCTCACCTTGATGGTCTCTGGAAATTCTCCACCCTGTTTGTGGACAGAGGAGGGAAGAAAAATTCCCCCGCAGTTTCTCCCTAACCTGAACCTGTCACTGGCAGGGTTGAAGCAAAGTGCCCTTTTTCATCCGAGGAGCTTCTGGTCGTATGCACTGCCTCCCATGTCGCCTCCTCCCCAGGGCAGGTGCAAGGAGGGCAGCCCTGCCTAGCGCCTGGCAAGAGGTGGAGTGGGTGTTTGGCCAAGCTCTGGCCTGCTTTCCTGAAAGCTTTTAGCCCCTGAAACAGGCTGTTTAATCCTTCATGCTTATGCTTCTTCTGGGCTCCCCCAAGCCCTGTGGGGCAGCTGAGAGTTCTGTGTGTGGTTTTCCTTTCCGCTGCACACCCCCACATTTGCTCTGCAGCCTGTCCAGCTGCATGTCCTCCATTTCTGAAAATGTCTAGGAGACCACAGGCTGCCAGTGAGCCAAATGTGCAGGAAAAGACAGGACACCTTTCAGCATCCTTCTTGGCAAGGGGAGGGCAAGAAACCCAGGTGCAACTCATGGGAACTACTCTAACATTTCCCTGTCCTTTGATTCTTCTTTGGTTTTGTTTTTTTGGGGGGAAGGTAATGTACTTCCTATCAAACAGCATGGCCAAAAAATGGAAGAATTTTTCAGCACAGTACTACTTTTGCAGCCCACCATACACTCCCTTCTCTAAACCAGACTTGGATTTGATGACTTCAAATAGTGTACTGTCCTCTATAAAGGAGGGAACGTCCCCACCACATCTGGCCAGCAAGACAAATAACTGCAGAGGTGCACATGTGGATCTTTCTGTGATGGAGAACAACCCAGCAAATTCAGGAGGCAGCTTTTTTTCAAGTTTGAGGGCAGAGCCTGGTGGGTAAAAGGCAGACTCCACTAGGCATAGAAGCAGCAAAAGCTCTTATCAGGATAAGCAGTCAACAACCAGCACCTTTTAATCTTGCCCACACATCCTGACTGTTTATTTCTCATGTTATTCCAACATTGGGCAAGCAGAGGTCTGTTCATGTGGTAGGATTTTCTCCTGCATATCTTCTCCCACTGGAACTTACCCCAGGGAGTCCCTTAATCCTCCAGAGCAGATTTTGAGGATATGTACTGTATGTTGGGGGGCTGCAGGCTCTGCTGATGGAAGCAGAACAATTCAACTGGATTTCACCCTCCGAGAGGAAGGAGGAATTATCCATTTTTTATTTATGTTATTCTGGGCTTGCTTAACTGTAGATTTGCAAGATGATGTTCCTTGCCCTGTCAGAGATTTATTAGTAATGATTAAGTTAATGCAGCAGATTGGGTTTCAACAAGGAAAGTGGGGATCCAGTTGTTTTGTGGAGGTCTGGTGGCCAGCACCAGCACTTCTGGAGCTGGAGACTGCAAACTGGTTGTGAAGAGTTTGCTTTTCAATTCTGTGCTAAGTGAAACAAAATGAAAGTGACCAGGGAGCAGGGAGGTTAACTGTAGCTGTAATTATTATTTTTTCCTTATATAGAAGGGAGGTTTTTTGTGGGCCAATTTTTTCTATATTATCTGCTATGAAGAAGCCAGAAAACCTAGGTCAAGCAAACACACACTCATGCAGGGATAAATATATTGTAACTTTTTAAAAACATGTGGTGTTAAAGGCAATGTGAAACAAATACCCTGCACTGGAAATATATTTTTAAAAATGACTAGGAGGCTGCTGCTACACTGGAAGTGCAATGATCACCTGGCATCCTAGGTTCTGGAAAGCTGTGCCAACCTTCTCCAAGCTCATGCCCTCTAGCTGTGTTGGAAACGATGGCAGTTGCAGTCCAACTCATTGGGAGTGCCCCAGCTTGGGGAGAGCCGGCCCAGGCCCTGGCTGAGCCAGTGTGGAAAGGCCAGGAGGGATCCCCAGGCTGCTGCCTCGAGGTCCCTTGTTTCTGGACAGCACTGTGGGAGGTTCATTTCAGTCACACCTTTTATAAATGTCCACTGTCAAGTGGGCTGCCTCAGCGTGGTCCAGAATTAATCTGGTCAGGTGAGGAAGGAGAGAATTGGATGAAGAAGGGTTTAAGCAAGCCACCTGCATTGTTCAGAGCAACAGATGCTGGAGAAGCAGCCTGAAATGTCTTCAGGGATGTGACTGGAGCCCCTGCTGGGGAGGCTGCAAGAAACATCTCCACAGCCGAACCAGCTTTCCCTGGCAGCTCCGCATTGCCCTGGAAAGCTGTTCCAGGTGTGGCTGGGCCTGGCAGAGTGGCTGGCCACCAGGAATGTGGTGAGGAGAGGGAGGGAGGGAGATAAGAAAAGATGCAAGTGTTCCACAGGTGCCCTAAGTATGGCACATTCCTATTTGCTTTGGGGGGGGGGGGGCAGGTGTCGTTCCCTACAGAAGCCGCTCTTCTGTTTGAAGATTTCTTCTGTTGAAGGAGCTTTCCAGCCCAAGTCTGGTTTAAAGATGTTATGTTACTCGTGAAGTTGTGTCCGACCCATCATGACCCCACGGACAACATCTCTCCAGGCCTTCCTGTCCTCCACCATCCCCCAGAGTCCACTGAAGCTCACGCCAACTGCTTCAGTGACTCCATCTAGCCACCTCATTCTCTGTCGTCCCCTTCTCAATTGTTCCCAGCATTAGGGTCTTTTCCAGTGTGTCCTTCTTTCTCATTAGGTGGCCAAAGTATTTGAGTTTCATCTTCAGTATCTGGCCTTCTAAAGAGCAGTCAAGGTTGATCTCCTCTAAGACTGACTGGTCTGATCTCCTTGCAGTCCAAGGGACTCCAGCACCACAATTCAAAGGCCTCAATTCTTCAGCGCTCAGACTTCCTTATGGTCCAGCTTTCACAGCCATACATTGCAACTGGGAAAACCATAGCCTTGATTATACGCACTTTTGTTGGCAGGGTGATGTCTCTGCTTTTTAGTATGCTGTCCAGGTTTGCCATAGCTTTCCTTCCAAGGAGGAAGGATCTTTTAATTTCTTGGCTGCAGTCCCCATCTGCGGTGATCTTGGAGCCCAAGAAAATAAAATCTGTCACTACCTCCATTTCTTTCCCATCTATTTTCCAGGAAATGATAGGACCAGGTGTCATGATCTTAGTTTTCTTAATGTTGAGTTTCCAGCCAACATTTGCATTCTCCTCTTTCACCCGCATCCAGAGGCTCTTTAGTTCCTCTTCACTTTCTGCTATTAGAGTGGTATCATCTGCATATCTGAGGTTGTTGATATTTCTCCCGGCAATCTTAATTCCAACTTGTGATTCTTCCAGCCCCGCCTTTTGCATGATGTGCTCTGCATTTAAGTTAAATAGGCAGGGTGACAATATGCAGCCTTGCTGAACTCCTTTCCCAGTTTTGAACCAATCAGTGGTTCCATGTCCAGTTCTCACTGTTGCTTCTTGACCTGCATACAGGTTTCTCAAGAGACAAATAAGATGGTCTGGTACTCCCATCTCTTTAAGAACTTGCCGCAATTTGTTGTGATCCACACAAACTAGCATAGTCAATGAAGCAGAAGATGTTTTTCTGGAACTCCCTAGCTTTCTCCATGATCCTGCGTATTTTGGCAATTTGATCTCTAGCTCCTCTCCCCTTTCGAAATTCTGCCTGTACTTCTGGAAGTTCTCAGTCCACATACTGCTGGAGCCTAGCTTGTAGGATTTTGAGCATAACTCTGCTTGCATGTGAAATGAGTGCAATGGTGTGGTAGTTTGAACATTCTTTAGCATTGCCCTTCTTTGGAACTGGGATGTAAACCGACCTTTTCCAATCCTATGGCCACTGTTGAGTTTTCCAAATTTGCTGGCATATTGAGTGTAGCACTTTTATTGCATCGTCTTTTAGGATTTTGAGTAGCTCAGCTGGAATCCTTTCTTCTCCACTAGGTTTGTTGTAGCTAAGGCTTCCTAAGGCTCTTTTGACTTCATATTCCAGGATGTCTGGCTCGAGATGCGACCATCCCATCGTGGTTGTCAGGAATGTTAAGCTCTTTCTCGCAGAGTTCTTCTGTATAATCTTGCCACCTATTCTTAATCTCTTCTGCCTCTGTTAGGTCCCTGCCATTTTGGTCCTTTATCATGCCCATCTTGCATGAAATGTTCCCGTCATATCTCCAATTTTCTGGAAGAGATCTCTGGTCCTCCCTATTCTATTGTTTTCTTCTATTTCTTTGCACTGTTCATTGAAGAAGGCATTCTTCTCTCTTCTAGCTATTCTCTGGAATTCTGCATTCAATTGGGTGTATCTTTCCCTTTCTCCCTTGCCTTTCTCTTCTCTTCTTTCCTCAGCTATTTGTAAAGCTTCCTCAGACAGCCATTTTGGTTTCTTGGTTTAAAGATAAAGAGCTATAAAACGGAAGAGCAGGAGTCTTAGTGCTTCCCAGCAGCAGGTCGAGCAAGACTTATTTAAATTACGCTATTTCTGAATTTGCATCTGTAGTTATAAATGAGCAAATGCAAAATGCTTGCATAGCAGTGTCCACTTTTTCAGCAATGTGGAACCAGCCAACTTACTAGCTCTCTTTGCTGGTATCAGCAACCTGGCCCAGCTGCTCGGTGTCGCAAGCGGCCTCCCTCCCTCCTCTTTGTCCCTAGCCGGTCTGGAGCTTCTTCCTTGCTCAGTGCTTCTGGTGGGGGCTAGTGGAACCATTGAGCTGGTTGCTGGGCTCGGCCTGTGGCCAGCCAGCTCCACACTAGGGACTGCTGGCCATGGCATCCGACTGAACCTGACTGAAAACCAGGGGCATGCCTTACTTTACATTCGGGACAGTTGCTTTGCCTGGGTCTTGCCTGAGCCAGCAGTCCATAGGAAACCTGTGGAAATGTGGCAGCTTGAAACGTCCTTGGAGGCGCTGGCTTGACTGGGAACAACGATTCTCAGGGAAAGACTGGGGGGGGGGGGGCCCCCTCGGGGGGTGGGTGGGTCATTCCAGCATGTCTGACTCACTGAGGAGCTGCACTGTTAAAAAGGCTTCTGCTGCAGAGGGAGGGGAAGGAGCGGCTGATTGGCAGGAGGGACAGCCAGCCTATCGCTGGGGCTTTCAGTGAATAGAATCTGAGGTAGCTTCTTGCTGGAGCTTTTCTCTCAGCCTTGTGTGTCCCTGGCACATCCTGTGGCAGAGCAGGAGCTGGTTATCCCACAAGGCCCTGCCTGTGGTGAAGGCCCCAGTCTGGCTTGCCATTGCTGTTGCTCCAGCCCGGCCCGTGTGGAGCAAGGCATGCTGGATGCTGCTGCCTGAAAGAGGAGGGTGGCTCAAATTCAGCCAGCTGCTGGGCAGCCCAGGTGTGATTCAGAATGACTCATTCACAGTGGTGATTAATGCAGGAGCCACAGAGACACATGTCAGGAACCTGACCGAGCTCCGTGGAGGTGGCCATGGCCAGTGCCAGCACAGAAACCTGTGAACGCAAGTAGGAAAACTGGTGCCTGTGCATGGTTTGGACTTCAGCTCCTATAATCTTTCACCATTAGCCATGTTTTCTGGAGTCCATGAGAGTTGTAGTGCAAAACATTTGGAAGGTGCCTCTTACTCAATCCTGACATAAAAAAGTGGGAAAAGGAATCCTTTCTATGAACAAGAGAGCTTAATCAGATCCATGAGTCTGGGCTTTTACTGCAGCATAAATGTTCCTGGCTGGGGACTGCAACCCAGTGCTGGCAGAGGGAGGTGAGTAGCCCCCTCCAAAACCAGACTTATCCTGGATCTGCTGCAAAGAGGCATAATGAATGGGCCTAGCAACCCTCACTGTGCCCCGTGGAGAGGAACAGCCGCCCCTTTATCCTGGTGTGATGGATGGCGACACTACTTGGGCCTGGCCTGCTCTGAAGAAATGATAAAAGCTCACCAGCAGGCAGATTTAATTTTCTCGCTGTGCCCCCTGGAGGTGCCCACCTGACCTCTGCTCTTCTCTCCTTAGCATCTACATTGGCAGCTCTGGGACTTATGGCCTCTTCCCCAACAACCGCCTCAAGCGCAGGCCAAGCCATTATGAACAAGAGATCACTGAGGGTGAGTGGCTGTGGGGGAAACCTTCCATGCTTCTCTCCCAGGATGGAGGAAGAGGGCACAGGCAGAGCTGCCCATTCTATAGACGTGGAGACTGAGCCTGAGGAAAATGGCTTCCATAAGGTGTTCCCAAGTCTGTCTTCAGTGTTATCTATTGGCAAATGCACTTTACCTGTCTATCCGTTTCCATTTATTTATGCAGGCCATCAGCCCCAGAAGGTGGCACGCCGGGTCTTCACCAACAGCCGTGAGCGGTGGCGGCAACAGAATGTGAATGGTGCCTTCGCAGAGCTCCGGAAACTCATCCCTACCCACCCGCCCGACAAGAAGTTGAGCAAAAATGAGATTCTGCGCTTGGCCATGAAATACATCAACTTCCTAGTCAAGCTGCTGAGCGACCAGGCCAGGTCAGCTGGTGGGGAGCCTCCAGATGCAGAGGCTAACTGCAACGGGACCCCAAGGACTCCCTCACCACTGGCCCCCATCAAATTGGAGCAGGTGCCAGTTGACCCGGTGACTGTGTTGGGGGCAGGCGAGCCACGGTGATGAACAGCTACCCATCCATTGGTGTGACCACTGGCTCCTGCACCTGGACCAGCACCAGCCACACATCCCGGGCTGAACTGAATCTCCTTCCAAGGATGCTTTGTGCTGGGAAGCATCTGGGACTGAAAGCCATGGGATGATGCTTGGGTCACTGTGACTTTGAGAGGTGGTGTGGGGTGGATTCAGGGTCTGCCTGTCCACATGCAGAGATCAAGAGGGCAAAGCAGCTGATGCCCAGTGAACCCCGCAAAGCAGCGGGACTTTGGGGAGAAAGGAGGAAGGGACGTTTATATTCATGTTTCCTGCTTGGCTTGCTTCTGGAAAAAACAAAAAGGGGCAGTGCAGCGCTGCTCAGTAGGAGCAGTGCTACAGTTCTGTGGGCTAGAAAGATCCCCCTTCTCTCCGGTCTCCGGGGGGTGGAGAACTGTCCTCAAGGCATGCCTGGGCTTCCTCCATGACCTGGAGTGGGCAACCAGTGTTCTCCAGATGTTTTGAACGGCTACTTCCCATCAGCCCCAGTCAGGGATTATGAGGTTTGCAACTCAAAACCATCTGGAGGGACCCAGGCTGCTTGCCCCAGTTCCTGTTTTCCTGCTGCACAGTGAGTGTGGGGTGGCTTCCGAGCCCCAATTCCATCCTGTGAAAGCCCAGCATGGTTGCTTGAGCCTGTACAGAAGGACAGCATGACAAGCAGGACCGTTTTGTCATGGGGTGGTGAGGCCCTCAACGCACAGGCTCCACTTTCCCTCGGTGTGGATCCTTCTTCATGGGCTCTGGCTGTGCTGCCACTGCAAAGCCCCCTGCCCCGCCCCTGACAGACACCAGAGCTTTCCCTCAACAACTGGGAAGCAGCACTGAGCTTTTAAAATGGCTAGAGGAGGAGTTAAGTAGCTCCTGCTGCTGCCACTCTTCTGCCCACGACGGCAGGCGAGTCCTAGCATCTGCCGTGTAGTATCTAGCTGAACTCCCATTTACTTGCTTCAGACCGCAGGTGCAGGTTCACATAAGGGGAGGGGTAAGTCCTCCACGGCGAAATCTAGCATGTTAAGGAGAAGACGAGGCTAGAACTCTTCTCCCAGATGAGCTAATTTTCTATGTGTTGAGACCGTTTTTTGCACATTCCCTCATGCGAGCATCCCTGCCTTCCAGCAGCCATCTGAAATGGTACAACTCATATTCAGGTCCAGCATTTCAGGAGAGAGAACTAGGCCTCAGAGATACCCCTTTCTTCAACATGCAATGATGGCTCAACAATCTGGGTGGGCTGCACTTGAGCCTGGGGTTAGAGGGGTTTTGGAGAGCATCGTGCAATGGCTGGGTGATGCTGGAGCAATTGCTGTGTCACTCCTGGCAGGCTAACACTTAGCTGGGTGGTGGGGCTACAGTGAGAAGGGGCCCATGGCCTCCTCAGAAACCCTTCCCTTTCCTGGAAGCTGCAGCCGTTTGTGCTGAGTCAGTATCCAAACCTACCCAGCTTACTCTGGGCCTCATGCCAAACCCAAATGTACCACCCAGCAATCCAGGAGGGTGGGCGGTCTCAGCTTGTCTGTTATTATATTAAAAAAAAGTTGGTGAAAGGCCTATTAGGAAGAAGACAAGAAAGACGGGGAGTATGGCAACAACTGCTCTTTAGCCCCCCACTGGATCATCAAATGATTGTGCAATGGGGTTTATCACTCTCCTCTGGCATCGCAGTAGGGCTGCAGGAGGACCAGCCCTGCATAGGCCATTCAAGGCATCCCTTCGAGGACTCTCAGGCCCACCTGTGTTCAAGCTGAGACACATTTATGGCCCAAAGTGTTCATGTTCTATTCAGAGGAAAGTGACATTCTTATATGGAAATCAATCCCACAGTCAGATGAAAATGCAAACCAAGTCTCTTAATGCACAATCTGTTGATATTACAAAATTTTGCTTGGTGTGCATGCTCTGTTCTGAACCTGGTTTTGATAGGTTTTGTTTACAAGACTAGAGTTTGTTCCTGCAAGTGTAAAATCATAACTTTCATGGAAAGGAATAGATACCAAGAGAAAAGATATGGGCAGTAGGGAAGAAAAGCCGGACTAACTGGCCTGCGTGAGGAATGAGTGTGTGTCTGTGTTCAAATGGATAGAAGGGATAAAAGGAAACCATTCAGCATACTGGAATGTTGCCTTCTGAGCACTGGGGATTGTGGCTTACAATGCTGACAAATCATACTGGAACATGTGTCTAAAATAATGATGACTGGAAACCTGTCGTGTTACTTCCAGACAAGCAGTTCAGTTAGCATGCAGCAGCAACTTGCACATCGTAGCTACTGTGGCTTTTGTTGGGATGTATGCTTCTGTTGGCCGCAGCCTTTAGATCAGGCAACATGGAGTCCTCTAGATGTTTTGGCTTACAGTTCCCATGAATGCCAGTCAGCATAAAGTTGCCCACTCCTGCTTTAGATGCATGAACAGTTCCTCAAAAATCCTGTTTATGCACTAGAACTATCCTAATTATTTGCTACGACTCCAAATGTACAAAGAAAAATGACCCAAGCAGTATCCACCACAGCCAACTGGGTGCCTTCCAGATGTGCTGGATTAAAACTCTCAGAATCCTCAGTCATGTCTAGAGGGCGCCTGGCTGGGGGAGACTGCGCTATTTATTGCCTTCTTGGCCGCATCGGTTTTTTTAGCCACACTACTGGTGTGGTCTAGCAGTTTCTCCCCCAATTCCACCTTCTCACTTGTGAGGAATAACAATTCCATTTCTTTTCTCAGCCACCTATCTCATTGGTCCGTCAGCCATGTGATGTTGATTTTTCTACCTACCCATTTATCTTGATGTTTGTTACATGCTCCTATTCTGTCCATAAGGAATCCAAGGTGTCTCTTCTTCAGCTACCTTTACCGTTGGTTTTGAGAAACTGATCAGATGGGGATCTTTCACCATCATTTTAAAGGCTGACTGGACATTTCAAAGACTTTTTGGAGTGCTGCCATCACAATGTTTGTATGCCAACAAAAACTTCCCTTGAATTTCTTTGCCATACGAAAGGCAGAGGGTGAAACCTTGCTAGAGAAAGCTTAGGAGCCCTAAGATTGATCAAATGAAGCAAATCACAACAGGTCCGGTGCACTGGATCTTGCCACAACCAGAGAACTTGGGGAAGGGTTAAAAGGGATTTGCACAGGAGAACTTTCTGGGGGATTCTGGTCTAATGATATGATCAAAATTCCAAGGCATTGGGTGGGCTGAAAAATGTTGACTGGTGCAAGCTCTGTGGAGGTAGGGAGGAAGAAAACACATATGGTCACTTTTAATAGATGAAGATTCTCTCACTATCAGTAGTGAGATAGAAATATTTTTAGAACAAGGAGCAGTATTTGATAGCTTAATTCAGAGCATTTTTAGAGAGCTCAGAATGATCAGTTTCTGTCAGATATGGTGGCAAACAGGAAAGGATTTTAAAGCACACCAAATCAATTTTAAATTGCCATTTTTTTCAAACAGGCAACTGAAAGCATGATTTCATCAGTAAAAATCATGGCAAGTGGATTGGGGGTAGGAGTGTCAGTACTTTCCAGAGGTTCCTTATTTGGGGCTTACATTTGCCTTAATTGATTAATAATATTTTGACTAGTGCACCCCCTGCCCCACTCCCACAAATTCTCTGACTTTCTCAGGACATATCAATGGAGGCTTTGGCATAGTCTTCTCTTTATTGTGCGCTTAAGTTGCTCCTTCTCAGGACCAAACAAGCTGTTTAAATGGAGATGCATGCATGCAATACAACCCTGGCAGCTTTTGTTTTTTGTTTTAAGTGGAAAGACTATGGGGGAAAAGAGGAAATGTATCAGATGGCCAGCATTTTCCTGCACTACATCAACCTACATGACTCCACCCCTTCTCACCCCTACAAACACACCTTTGGAATTCCATGGGGGAAAGTCTCTGCAATTTAAGTGTGGCTGAAGTCTTTCATCCCATTGTGTGTCTGAACTCTGTGTGTGGTTACAGCATGTGCCTTTGTGCTGTCTGCTGTTCATAAGCCATGATTTCCCATGGCCTGCCAGCTCATAGATTCATAGAATAGTAGAATCAGAAGGGGCCTTCATTGGGTCCAACCCCCTTTTGGTGCAGGACGCCAAGTGACACCATCCCAATCAGATGACTCTCCAATTTTCTCTTGAATATCTCTAGTGTGGGAGAGCCCACCACCTCTCTAGGCAACTGGTTCCACTGTTGCATTGTTCTGATAGAAAGATTTTTCTGCTGTCTAGCCTGAATCCACTGTGCTGCAGCTTAAGTTTGTAGTTCAGTGGCCTACTCTCAGGGGAGTGAGGTGTTTTCCTTCCTCTTTGTGTCAGCCTTCGAGGTACTTGTAGGGTGCTATCATATCCCCTCGTAGTCTTCTTTCCTGAGGCCTAACCTCTCATTGTAGGGCTTAGTTTCCAGACCCTGAATTATCTGTTACCCCCCTCTGAAGTCTTTCTAATTTTTCTGCATCTTTTAAAAACCTGGGTGCTCAGAACTGAATACAGTATTCCAGGTGAGGTCTGACTAGTTCAGCATAAAGTGGAACTAGTACCACTCATGTTCTGGAAGTGATATTTATGCATCCCAAAATATCATTTGCCCTTTTTGTGGCTGCATTGCTGGCTCATATTTAGCTTGTTGTCCACAACAACTCCAAGGTCTTTTTCTTTTTCAGTGCCATTGAGCCACATAGCAAAGAAACAGGACTCTCACTGGCCTGGTGCATGAAGCAGAGTTTCTCTGTGAACAAGTCATTGAGCCACGAAGAGAACAGCATTCTTTCCCTTTGCATGCCCTCTATTTTGCAGTAGCTGTCTTATACAGAACCAGGCCTTTGGCCCGTCTTAGTATTGTCTAGCTTAGCCTTGCCCAGCCTGGTGCTCTTCAGAGATTTTGAATTAAACCTCTTATCTTTCCTGACCATTGGCCACCCTGGTTAAGTCTGATTGAATTCCAACACTCCTGGAGGGCAGTAGGTTGGGGAAGGTTTGGCCACCAAGGTTGGAGGCTTCTGAGGTTCTTTTAGTGGCAGATGCCAGTAAATACATCGTGGGCCTTCTGCAAGCAGCACTGATGTCCTCCCATTTTGATACGGGTCCTTTCTGTTTGAATACGAATCTGTTTAGCTTCCTTCTACTGATCCTTCTTCAGCATGGTCTCTGTACATCACACCGGTGGGCTTTGCTGTATAGCTCAAGACTTGGATTGAAGACAAACTTCCATAGCAAAATATCTTATACTGATCCATCTCCTCTAGTATTGCAAATTCCAATGCAGAGGTGCTCCTGACCTTGCTACCTGAGATCCTGTGAAATGCAGGCATTATGGATGGGATCACAGAACGCCAGCACACATGACAGGCTTGCTGCTGCGGAGCTTCTGCGTCTCAGAACGTACCCAGACTGTGCTCAGCCAAGCAGCCAGTCTAGTGCAAGATGCATGGCTCACCTTCAAAGCAATCCCGAGTTGTGACATCTGTGTGAATCTGAACAGACAATCAAGGCAGGGGCACTTCTTGCCACCACAAGCCAACCTTTAGAGGTTGTACATTGTACAACAAGAGTCATTGTACAATGACTGAGCATGACCAAATTATACCATTAAATGTGTACTGGCACCAAAGCACTTCTCTCTACATTAAAAAAGGCACTGGCAAGGGAAGCAGGGAGGATGGGTTGGGAGGATGGGTAAGGTATAGGGAAGGAGGCTAACCCCATTCCCTGTGCTATTTTCCAGATGAGCCATCAGCAAGGTTGCTGTTTGCCAGCAAAGGAAACTATTTGTGTCCATAGCAGCAGCTTTCCGAATGCGAGCAACAGCTTTGGGTGATTGTGTGGTTATGCTTATTGGGGAAATGGCACAGTGGGAAAGGGTCAAGAGCTCTTACAGCATGCTGCCAATCTTGAGGAGGGAGGGGTTCTGCATCTTCCTTTGAATATAAGACATGAAAGTATGAGCATATATTCTAGCCCAACACATCTAAATGGCACCAGGCTGGGAGAGGCCAGATACCACAGCAGCGGGGGTTGGTGTTGCAGTGGTTGCAATGCTACAGAGGGGCAGCTACAGAAGTGGGAAAGTGGACTGGGGAGGATTTGAGCATGGCCTGCGTGGGATCTGTGCTCATTAGGGTTGCATCACAAACACAGAGCAGACCCTTGGTCTTGCTGGATCAGGAGAGAAGATACCTTTGTAGTGTAAGTCCTGGCAAAGTATGCCAGTGGGGCTGAAAAACTCCAGTGGTGGGCTGGCAAAGTCCTTGCCTAAATGTAGAGTGCGTATGCAAGGCACAGAGCCAGTGAGGGCGAGAAGGTTACAAGGCCTCCCCTCCACCAGACTTTGTGAGCAACAGCTACTGGTTTTTGGGAAGACCCAGTGTACACTGCAGCCCAAGACCCGCTTCATCACCGTGTACACAAGCATACCTGCAAATACATTTTGAGGTAAATGGGAACTTGGTCAGGGTTGTTGTCTCAAGCCCTGGCCGAAGGCAGCCTGTGCACATGGCTGGATGACTGGGGACAGCGAGGAGGGATGATGCTCAGTCACATCACCAGTTCACTCACACATCAGACATGTTCAGGATGGAGGGAAGGCTTAGTGGCCATTCATCTCTCAAGAAAGCCAAAAAAGACAGTTACAGTCAATAACATTCTTTAATTCAATCAGTTAAAGAAGGTGCTGCATCTATAAACTTTTATTATGGAAAAATTGTAATTAACACATGCGTATTACACCCCGCTCGGAGAGTGGCACTTGGGGAGGGAGGGGTAGTGCCGAGGGCTGACTGGGAGAGGGGAGGGGGCTGGAGGAGCTGGCCCACCACATCACGGCAGCTGGTTCCCTTCTTGGGGTGTGGGTGAGCAAACATGATGGGGAAAGCAGTATGAAAGCTGATTAGCAGAGGGTGCCTTTTCATAGGCTTAACTACCCTCTTATGTGTAAAACTTGCAGGCAGGGTGGGAGCAGAAAGCAGGGGGCATGGTTTGTAATGGTGGGAGGGGCTACCCTGAGCCCCACCTGGAGGCGGTTTGATTGCAATCTCTGTAAACATCTTTTGTTCACATTTCTGAAGCTGATGCATAAAGTTTGATTGATTTCTCTTCCTGTCTGTTTGTTCGCTGGTGGCAGCAAAGGCATTGGTTTAAGGCACTTCCCTTAATTCGGCTGCAGGGTTATGAGTTCTTTTTGCTTTCAAAACCAAAGCAGTAGCAATGGACAGCTTCATAAAGGCTGCAGGGCACTAAAGGGGTCCGGAAAGGAGCTGGGAGACAGCTGCTCTGGAGCATCAGGTGGAAATGGACAACTTTCTGTGGCACACCTAGAACTGGCAGTCTTCTGGCAAAACTCTGTGCACTCACCAAAAGTGCCTCTCTCTTTGGACCAGCATGGATGGGTGCTATCCCAACATCCACCATGGCTCCCAGCCATGGTGGAGGTGCTTGGTGCATAGGGAAGAGTCCTTCCTGAAAACCTTTGGATTGGCCCAGGGAAGGAAAACAAGTCCTGGGAGCTAGGCCTTATCCTATGAAAGCTTTTTAAGGTCATGGCTGGAAAAAACAATGTAATCAGTGGGGAGGATATGCCTTTGCAAGAGAACGCAACCATAATGGAAGACATCACCAAGCACATCCCATGATGTTGAGCAAAAAGGCTTTAGGGAAGAGGTTTGCCCTCCAAACCTTTTGGGCTACCCTCTCATCTTGCTCAGTTGATCTATGACATTTGGAAGCATCTAAGGGAAACAGAAGCCACTGTACATTTCTGCAAATATCTGGCTGCTCTCCGTTCTCCTATGCACCTCTTAGGCTCTTCCATCCATGACGACTGGAACCATGCTGGCTCAACTATACCACTGGTATGCCCCTTGCATCTTGCCTTCTTCACCAGATCATAGCTGCCTATGGTTAAAAAAAGCATTGGAAATCCACAGGGGCCTAAACCGTTTCTGAAAATAGGGCCTGTGTTACAAAACAATTCCAGGACTGAGCTTCCAAGGCAAAAATGGAAACTAGACTGTGATGTACTGGGTCAAACTAGATGCGATAGCAATAGACCCACCTTTTCTGCCTGGGTCTGCACCAATCATGTATAAAGCAGGAGAGATGGGCACCTCAATTTTAAGAGCAAAGGGAGTGAAGGGTACCAAACCCTCCCCCTTCTGCCTCCCTGGACATGCCGCCTTCCTGAAAGCCCGTTTCTCCTCAGCTGGGAGAAAGCCTGGCAAGGAGGAGGGTGTTGTGGGAGGTATGCTGGGGTTGCGCCAACTACTGGAGCTGTCCACATGTCAGCAGGCATCACATGAAGGTGCCCAGTACCAAACGAACAAGGGGGCGGAACTCAAGTATCATCCTTGCTGCTGAAAAACTTACCTCTTAGGCACTTTACAATTTGACCAAAGGGATGATGGGATGTGTGTATGGAGGGAATAGGCCTATTCTTGATGTTTCTGAGCAGCTCCTCCAGAAAGCAGAGGGATGGGGAAAAAGGGACACAGACCCCCGTTCACCCACCAACAAAGACACACATACATGATCATGGAGCCCTCGGCACTCCCCTCCACTGGGCTTCCCATCTCTGCTCTGAGGAAGGAATTGGTGGGGACAGGGAAGAGGGAAGCTGATTTTTTTTTTTTGCTTTTTTTTGCAATATATGTAGTTTTTTTGTTTTATTTTTAACCTTTTAAAACATTTTTTTCTCTTTTTCTGTTTTAAATTCACATAACACAATAAGCCATTCCAATGGAGAAAGCCGAAGAAAGCTCAGGCAAAAATGATAAAACAGTTTGGATTTTTCTTTTTTTTTCTTTTTTCCTATATTTTTTGTTGTGAAGCAATATTGACAGTTATAACATATGGCTACCTGCATTCTGCTAGACACGGAAGAAACCTCAGAAAGAACAAAAACAGACAAAGATCTACCCTTTATTTTCAAGTGCAGGGGCGGGTGGGTGGAGGGGCAGGGGGCTGGAAGAACAGACTCAAAGACACAAAGGGTGCACCGGTCGGGGTGGGGAGAGGCAAGGGGAATCAGGGATGAGGAGAAAAAGCACACCAAATTCCATTAGTACTATATATATATACTGTACTGTACTCATATATATACTGCGTTTCTTAACCAAGGAAGAAACTTGTTCAAAGGGGCAGGGGTGGGATGCAGTCAGGGAAGCTGCAGTTTCATGGATCTTAAGGTGTTGCTGCCGAGCAAGAGAAGTGGATTTGGGGTGAATGAAGGGCCATATGTTGAAAGTGAGGGTGGGGGGCAAGAAAGGGAGACAAAGAAGCCTATTAAAGGTATCTAGTAAAGGAGGACAGGAAAGCACAATTGCTATGCTGAAGCGTGGGAAGAAAAGAGGGGAAAGAGCTCCATACAAGGTGTGCATGGGGGGGTGTGAAGATTATTTGCAGCCCACAGGTGATTGTTGGTGGCCAGGAAGCCAAGGAACATGCCCTCTCCCCATCTATGAGGAGATGGAGGGTTTCTGTATGTTTGTTGGATGGAGACCTGCTAGGGGGTGATCACACCCCAAAATGAAACCATGTTGGGACTCTCAAGGAAATCTAATATCCTCCTGGGCTCCAAAAGCATTTTCCTGCTTTGTGTCTCAGACCCCAGCCAAACATCACCTGGGAGAGAGGAGCTGAGGAGGGCCCTCTTTCATGCCAACGAACAGTTCAGGGCTCCAGGCAAGGTGGTTCTGTCCAAGTGCAGAAGTTGCAGGTGGGGAGTGGGGGAGTCCCTGCAGTCTTCCATATTGCTGCTTTGGTGGCGAGCTCCCTTCACTCTCTCCTTGGTGCTGCTAGCCCTCCCTTTTGCATGGGGTAGCAGAAGCCAGGCCAAAGAGGACTAGGCACCAGGGCATTTAGCCAAAGCACCTCTCTCTTGCTGGTCAGGCCTAGTCTTTTTATTGCTTTCCCCTGTATTGAGCGCACAGATTACAGGGGAGGGGGTGGAACTCCCTGTACCCGCCCCCCTGGCAGAGTACGTGGTCCATCTGTTCCAGCGAAAGATGGGTTTACAAAGGCACTATGTCAGCTGGCCAGTTAAGCATGGTTAAGAGTAAGGCAAAGTCATCCATCCTGGTCCTTCCCTGAAGTGAGAGCTGTCTCCAGTTGACCTTCCATGCTCTGTGAGGTTATGGGGTACGGCCTGGGCCAAGGCTTCTGCTTCACTCCCCTCCATCCAGCAAGGAAGAAAGGGAGTTCAGAGGAAGGGCTCCTCTGGCTCTGGGAAGGGGGGAGCAACTAACTCTGGAAAGGATAACAGGGGAGCTTTGATGAAGGGGATGCTGGTGACATCACAGGTTGGCTCCTCATTCCAAAGAGATGCCCTTGAGATAGAGGATATATACACAGAGAGACACATTAATAGGACAGAGACAGAGATGGAGGGGGTGGGGAGACAGAGAGTGAGCAAACAAGAGTGCGCACAGATTGGGCTGGTCTATAAGGATGGGTAGCAGAAAGAATGGCCAAAGCTAAAGTCAACTCTTTTGCTTAGCTCTCTTTGGGAAAAGACAGGACAGGGGAACAAGGCAGAGGAGGGTGTGCAGTGGCAGTGGTGGAGGATGGGGAGGGGTGAGAGGAGACAGAGAAACACGGCCCATTTAGGGTGGCCTCTGCTCCAGCAGGAACCTTTTCCCTTTGCCAAGGCACCTCACCACCACCCATCTCGCTCGGCAACCTGGGAAGATCCATGAGAAGCTGCCGGATGCTGCTGGTGCGTTTGACCGCAAAGCCCGCTGCCCCTTTCAGCTAAACATAAAGAAGGGATAATGCGTGTTTCCTAAAATGTGCTTTATGATAACAATTAATTGGTTCATAAACTATGTATAATAGAGATTTTAATGTATTTTATATTGTAAGAAGCACCAGGTTTTGTGTTTTTTTTCCTTTTATGATACTTTAGGTTTTTTCTTGTTTTCCTTTTCTTAGTTTTAATTCTGTAGTTTTCTTCAACATTTTTAACCTGATACAGTGATTTTTGCAAATTTATTTTTGTGTGTGAAAAACTTTTGCCTTCAGCCCTCCCATAAAACGACAAAACTAATGAAGAAAAGATGGGGAAAAAACCAAACCCCTATCATTATCAAGCTTTTTAAAAAAGGATTTAAAAAACAAACAAGAAAAAAGAAAAAATAAACAAATGAAAAAATAAACAAAAAAAGTTTTCCCCATACTTACAAAGGTTGGGTTTTTCTTTTGTCCCTATTTATTTAGAGTCCCTGGGAACAGAGGACTTTGCAACAAAAATAGATTTTTTTCTCTTCTTTTTAACAATCTTTAACATACAAAGATATTAAAACTATGCACTCCATTGCACTTGGCTCAATGCAAACAAAATTGGTTCTTTTAAAACCCCTAATATATATTTTGTTTTTTTAAAATCCCCTCCCCTTTTAAACACACATTCCTGTGTTTTCTTTCTTTCTTTCTTTCTTTCTTTCTTTCTTTCTTTCTTTCTTTCTTTCTGCTGCCCATACTTTCCAACCACCAAAATTTAAAGTCCTCCATGGCACCCCTTCCAGGTTCCTTCTCAGTGTTTACATTCACCCTTCTTTGAGACCCACACCAGGTCGCAAGCAGGTGGGTGGCACTGCCATTCCATCCACTCCTGTGCTGCTGTCACCCAACTGTCATGCTCCTGCGGATGCCAAGTGTTAAGTCTGTGCTTAAGCACTGTTAGGATCCAAAGCTTCCTTTTCAGGATTAAATAAAAGTCATAAGTAAACCTCTCCTCCCCCATCCCCACTACAGTTTTTAAGTGCTTTTTATTTGTGGTCAGTTGCCTCTGGACTCCTGCAATTCTCTGCCATGTGGCTCTCCCAGACCATAGATACCCAGTCTCTCAAGTAGGGAACCCATTTTAAGCAATGTTGGGCATTTGAAGTTAGAAGCTTAAAGCTATTAGATTGGATCAATTAATTAATATTTGTTTTAAATATGTAACAACAGAATTTATTAACTGAAAAGAAGCTGCAGTGGTGACCTTCAGTGTTTAACATTTTGGAACACGTTCACCCTATTTAGACCATTTTTCAGTTTTGCATCATGTTTTCCACTTAGAAATTGTCAAAGCTGACAGAAGCAGAAACTTAGATGCACGTTTTAAGAACTGGGGGGAGAGGGGAACAGTCTCAATTTCGGAATGCTCCAAATACTCATGACAAAATACAATAAAAATCATACAGCATTTCAGTTGCTGGATTGAGTGGCTTTTGGCCCTGGACTGGAATTCTTGAGTGACACTCAACTTTAGCACAGGTCCATGTCTCAAGTTTAGGCTACAACAGAACCCTGCTCCATGCAAAAGAAGGGTGCTTGAGAGTTTGCAAGAAAGGAGGAGATGCAGAGTACGGTGAACCAGAGGAGGGGAAATGTCTGTTTTCTTAAGACCACAAGGTTAGGAACAGTTTGCATTGCCACAACTGTAGAAATTTTCCATGGCTTGGTGCTCTTAAAGAAACAGATACTAATCCTGGGCTTAAAACCAGGCACCCTTCAACCTTTTAAAACATGGAAGTGGCTTGTGTTCCAGTTCCAGCTGCTGCCCATGCCACAGATATGAACTGCACCCTCAGTCTTTGTGAATGCTCAGCTAGAGACAAGGCAGTAGTTTTTGCTTAGAAATATGAAGCAAACTGGAAAAGGGATGTCCAATTGTGATGTCTATACCAGTATCATTTTTGCTGCTGGTAACAGCTTTTTGCCATATTTTAAAACTTGCTTGATGAGAGACTACCAGAAAGGTACATGCACACCATGGAAAGTGATGCCTCTCTCAAACCGCTATTTTGGAAAGAGCTGTCTTTCTATGGCTTCACCTGCTTTGTCTCTGGCAGGTCATGTTTCATTGCTGAGTCACATGTTACAGGAGATGTGGGTGAGGGTCTCTGGTGTGATGGCAGCAGCAGAGCACCAGTCTTAGAATCCATGCAATCCAGGTCTCCAGTCTTACTGGCAGGAGCAGGCCTGGCTCATGCCACTGATGAAAGCATCAAGCAGGTGGCACTCTTGTAGCAGCCAATTACTTCAGTTGAACAAAACATCTGGATGTATTTTCTGCAGGCTAGTCACTCCCTTACCATATTCCTCAGGAGGATTATCTCCCCACCTTATTGCACCAGCTGTCCTGCAGCTGTGCAGGGTCAAGGCGTTGTGACTCCTCCATGAGAGCAGGCTTTTGATAAGGGTGTCCGCTGTTAAGTTGTGTGTTTGTGGGATCCAGAGTGTTCTTCTGACATCTGGGAACTCGTGAATGGTTTGAGGATTAGCAGGGCAGCCTACTGCTGCTGGAGGGGAGAGGCAGATCTGCAGCCCTCAAGATTCCCTTCCTTGACCCTGTTTCTCCAACTGGAACTGGAAAATCATTGCACTTGGAAAGGAGTGCAGATTCCTTGTCTGACCAGCAGCTCCTGGACTCTGCTCCAGAAGTCCTTTCAGATGCCTCAAACATCAGCTTGGGGTCATTGTGGCAGGTAGCAGAGGGGCTTTCTGGAGGTTCTCTAGATTAACTGCTTTTTCCACAGTCATTTGGGAGACAACTCCAGACTTTACAAGCCAGGAGCCCAAATGCAATTGCGCTGGACAGATTGCACACTGACCCTGTTCCCTACAGCATCCCCCTGGCCCTTTCCAAATTAGACAATCCTGAAGCCCTACCTCCACCCCATCCTGATATAGGAGCTTGCCCAAGTCTATCCTAAATATTCCACATGTAACAACCAGTTAAACCTGAAAGCAGAGGTGGACACATTTAAGAGGAAAGATTGGATGGAGGATGGAAGAGGAATCCCAAAGGATTTGGCAACATTCCTTTCCCCGAAGTTCAGAATGGGGAAGGAGAAAGAGAGGGGTCTCTTTCACAAACCTTTAGAAAAATAATGATCTTTTCATGGGTGCAAGACCAAGAAGGATACTCACTCTCCTCACTTTTTGTTGTTGTCTAAGAAAGGGAAAGAGGAAAGTGCACGGAGCTGTGTGAATGACTCTGATGTTCATGTGTGCATGTGTGCAAATGCACAGTATACAGACAGTAATGTCAAACCCTCATATCCACCAGTTAGGCAGCCTCCACTACCTCTAACTCTATAGAATTCATTTTGTTGTGCTGAGGTTTGCTGAGAATGTTGACACGTATTAACTTTTAGGGGTTTTGTTTTCTGTTGATCTTAACAACAACAACAACAACAACACTTGAATTTTCATTTTGTTGTTGTTGTCACCTGTATGTAGAGGAAGCTAAAGGAAATGCTACAACTAAAGGGAGGAAAAGAACAAAGTGGAGAAAAAGGATCAGAAAGAACATCAAACCATAGTACCAACAGACACCCAAAACCTTAAAGGGAAAAGGCTGAGCATAATGGGAAAGGAATGCAGCCCACCTGTCCAGACCAAGCTGGGAACTCTGCAGAAAGGTGCCTGACTCAGCCAGCTACCTTAGACCTGCCTGGATTAGTAACTGCCATGCAGCCTCTTTATTTATTTAAAGTATTTCAAACAGTTCTCCAACGGGTTGTCTAAACATTTGCTGAATTGCAATGGCAGTAAGAGCTTTCTGGCTTGGTCTCATGAAGTCAAGAATACCTGCCTCTATTGTTTACTGAAGAAATCACAATTCATGCACTATGAAACTGTGATTGCCACTTAAACCTAATATTCTAATATTTTTCATTTCTGAGAGACAGAGAAAATTCATCCAGAGCAAGGG